GTGCCGATCTGAAGCCAGGAGCCAGGAGCTTCTTCGGGTCTCCCACAGGGGTGCAGGGGCCCAAGCACTTGGACCATCCTCTGCTGCCTTACCAGGCACATTGACATGGAGCTGGGCAGGAAGCAGAGCAGCTAGGACTGGAACTGGTGCTCCGGCATGGGATACTGCACCACAGTGCTGTCCTTATCAGTTATTTAGCAGGGAAAAGATAATAAGCATTCTTAACTAGGACATTCGACAACTGAAAAGGCAACAGGAGTCACTGTGCACCTGCTCCCCATGTAGGGCCTCTGTCCTTAATGTGCTGTACTATGAGAATTAACAGTAAAACTAGCCTTCAAACAGCACTTTATTCTTTGTGTGTCTGTGTGGGTGCAAACTGTTGAAATCTTTACTTAGTATAGAGTTCATCTTCTGTATATAAAGATAATTACAAATGAATCTTAATGAAGAATGGGATGGGAGAGGGAGTAGGAGGTAGGATGGTTGGGGGGTAGGAGGGCGGGTATGGGAGGAAGAACCGCTATAATCCAGAATTTGTACTTATGAAATTTATAGTTATTAAATAAAAGCTTTCTATGAAAAAATTATAGAGTTTTTTGTTTGTTTTGGTTTTGGTTTTGTTTTGTTCTGAGTTGCAGAAAGAGAGTTCCAATCTGCTAACCAGGAGCTGAGAACTCAATCTAGATCTCCTACGTGGCTGGTAAGAGACCAACTGCTTGAGACATCACCCCTGACTCCCAGGGTCTGCATCACAGGGAAGTAGAGTCAGGGGCTACAACTGGAAATCAAACCCAGGCACTCCAGTGGGTTGCTGGTGTCTTCACCAACATCCTAACTGCTAGGCCAAATGCTGTCCCAAATCATAGGTTTTTAAAGAGTATAATTTTTTTATCCTGAAACCCTACAAAAGTATGATTTATCCCCTATACTTATTTTTATAAATGTTAATTGCCTTCAAGAGAAGAATACATGAGTCTATGATTTTAAAAGATGGTTTAGACTGTTGCCACGGCTCACTTGGCTAATCCTCCGTCTGCGGCGCTGGTACCCCAGGGTTCTAGTCCCGGTTGGGGTGCCGGGTTCTGTCCCTGGTTGCTCCTCTTCCAGTCCAGCTCTCTGCTTTGGCCCGGGAAGGTAGTGGTGGATGGTTCAAGTGCTTGGGCTCAGTACCCGCATGGGAGACCAGGAGGAAGCACCTGGCTCCTAGCTTCAGATCGGCGCAGTGCACCGGCCTTAGCGGCCATTTGGGGGGTGAACCAACGGAAGGAAGACCTTTCTTTCTGTCTCTCTGTCTCTCTGTCTCTCTCTCTCTCACTGTCTAAATCTGCCTGTCAAAAAAAAAAAAAGATGGTTTAACGATAACACTGAGAACCTAATGTACCCTAAAATGTATCAGTAAATAATTATAATGAATAACTTTAATAATGAGAGCCACTAATGGAATCCACATATCACTGGAAAACTCAGTGTTTTTGTTGTAATTGCCTTTGAATTGTTAAAGAGAGTCAATTGTCCTAGACCTGAAATCCATAACCCAATCTATTAAAACTTGATTTCTTTTTCTCAAAAATGACATTCAGATTCCATTGAGTCCATATCTGAGATATTTGGTCAAAGATGATGATGCCTATTCATTTAGTTTAATTCAAAAAGCATTCTTTGGGTGACTGTTCCTTGCCTGTCACTGAGCATAACTTGGTAGATTAAGAGTAAAATAAGGTATCATAGTTCAATGGAAAAGATGTTTCTAACACATCTAGGAAGATTTTGCATCTGAGCCAGGTGTTGGGTCATCAAACTCCCCTCCTCTCTCGTTGTGGTCCTGAGCATTGAAGACTCAGCTGTGCCACAGACTCAACCTCCTCTGAAGTGGCCTTCAGCCCTGTAACTCATTCTCCCCAGTGGATCGTGACAGGGCCAATGGGCCTGGATCATGCAGTGTGCCAACGGTGCTCCTCCTTGCTTCTCTCCTCCCCTTGGAACAAGGTAGACAAGGTCCATATGTATTTTTAAAGATTTATTTTATTTGTGTGAGAAGCAGAGAGAGACACACAGAGAACGAGATCTTCCATCTGCTGGTTTGCTCCTCCAAATGGCCACAATTCCTGGGGCTGAGCCAGGCCAAAGCCAGGAGCCGAGAGTTCTATCCTGATCTCTCACATTGGTGGCAAGAACACGGGCTATCTCCCACTGCTTTCCCAGCCATACTAGCAGGGAGCTGAAATGAAAGTGGAGCAGCAGAGACTGAACTGGTTAGGGAAAGCTGGAATCACAAGCTAAATCCACTGTGTTTATGATGGCAGCCCTCAGAAAGCCTATACTGAGGGCACAGAGCAGACATCACTCCAAGTCCATTTCTTCCTCGGGCTGCCACGTAAGAAATCAATTTCTAGGACCTTTATGCCATGTGCTGTGGGTATTTTTGTTACAGGAGTTCTGTTGCAGTTGAAAACACATACGTTGTGTAGAAGGAGTTGCAGCAGGCCGGTTAGAGCTCATAGAAGAGATAAAACTTAATCTGTACTTTAATTAATAACCTCTGCAATTAACTTAGAACCATAATGTGCCAGGGATATGCCAAGCACAGGTATTATCTGATCTAAGTGTCACAACAGCTTTTCACAGTGAGTGTCATTAAACCCTACTTCACAGATGAAGAAATCAAAGTTCAGAGGAGCTGGGTAGTTTCCCTAAGGTCATCCAGCAGGTCCATGCCTTGAACACAGATGTTCCTGTCTCCAAAGCCTGTGCAGAGAGCATGGCGGGAGGGTGGGAGGATGGTGTGGGAACAGGCTGCTAGGGGTTTCCCTGGCAGGTGTGGCTGGAGGTGCAATAGCCCTGTGACCTCCTTTCCAACAATATCCTATAGGAAAAGAAGCCCCGCTGTTCTTCCCTTATTCAAACCAGTCTCGCCTTCTGAAGTCTGAATTGCACCACTCTTTTCTCCACTCCATGCTACCACAATGGGAAATCCCTGAATAAATTATCAAGGTAGTTAAAGATGAAAAGAAAGCCACAAAGACAGTCTTTACTTACCATCACCCCACCCCCAAAGCAGAAGCCCAGCGCATGTTAGAGAGAATGAGACTAGTAGAGGCAAAGGCGCAGTAAAGTGGGCACTCCTTCCTAGGTACAGGAGCCAAGAGGACGTGTGGAAGGATGAGGGGTAGGGATGCTGGCTGCAGAACAGAAGAATCCATCAAAGGCAAACACACAGTATTCAAGATTCCCAACCATCTGCACAGACAATGAAGAGCTAACACTAAGTCATTTGTTTTTGGTGCTCCAGTGGCCCTAGAAAAATTCAAGACAAATAAACAAATGGAGGCCAAGGGACATCTAAATGCAATCACATCCAAGAGCTACCAGGCCTTGGGAAACTGCACAGAGCCTTGAATAGACATTGGACATTGATAAGGCGTACGGACGTCCTTTCCAAGGTCGTTGTTAAGCTCATGGGTGTAAAGTGTTAGAAATCATCTTTTGGGGCCAGTGCTGTGGTGCAGCGGGTTAACGCCCTGGCCTGAAGTGCTGGCATCCCATATGGGCACTGGTTCAAGACTCGGCTGCTCCACTTCCGATCCAGCTCTCTGCTATGGCCTGGGAAAGCAGTGAAAGATGGCCCGAGTCCTTGGGCCCCTGCACCTACGTGGGAGACCCAGAGGAAGCTCCTGGCTCCTGGCTTCGGATCGGCACAGCTCCAGCCATTGTGGCCGATTGGGGAGTGAACCATCAGATGGAAGACCTCTCTCTCTGTCTCTCTCTCTCTCTGCCTTTCCTCTCTCTGTGTTAACTCTGACTTTCAAATAAATAAATAAACCTTTTAAAAAATCATCTTTTACTTTTCAAGTAAAGGACATTTTAAAATCATTCACATTGGGCCAGTGTTGTGGTATAGAAAGTTAAACCTCTGCCTACTGTGCTGGCATCCCATTGGGCACTGGTTTGAGTCCTGGCTTGCTCTACTTGTGATCTAGCTCCCTACTAATATGCCTCGGAAAAGCAGCCAAAAATGACCCCAGTACTTGGGCCCCTGCACCCACGTCGGAGGCCTAGAAGAAGCTCCTGGATCCCTTCTTTGGCCTGGCCTAGTCCCAACCGTTGCAGCCATTTAAGGAGTAAACCAGCGAATGGAAGATGATCTCTCTCTCTCTCTCTCTCTCTCCTCGCTCTGTATCTCTGCCTTAAAAAAAATTAAAATCACATTGTACATGGCTCAGTGGTTGTGACTATCACACAACAGCTAAGTAGAGCCTTCTGCTTAGCCTATTATACTCCAAGACACCCCAACTCTCCTGAGGCCCTTCCCAGAAGCCTCCAGGCCTCCATCACTGATAGTCACCACCAACAATGACAGCCAGGAACCCAAAAGGTTAGGGCTACTCAAACTGAGAGTACCAAATGCTTGTACAGAAGAAGCATAAAAACAACAGGAACTATGGATATTGTAAGTCCTATTTGCCAAAGATGCTTGCTCAGGCATTTTAGAGGTTGCATCCCTTGGCCTCTGGGAGGACAGGCGTGGCTGGGTAACTAATTCTGGCCAATGAGTTAGGAACAAAAGCTACAGGGCCACTTCCAGCCTGGAGCACCTAACTGCTGGTATGAGACCCTCCAAAATGATCTTTCCTTATGCCATAGCAACTGGCAACTTGTGAGATGTCAGCTACTCCATGAGGTACTTGCAGCTTGAGCAAGAAATAAATGCTTGTCATCCCAAGCCACTAGAATTTTGCAGTTAGGTGTTAACTATAGCACAACCTCCCCTTTTGCATCACTAACAATAATTAACTTTCTTTGAACGCTGCATTCTAAGCCCTTTATATATATATATATATATATATATATATATATTCATCTTATTCTAACAATAATTTTTGAGATAACTTTGGGTCGTGGATGTACACATGAAGACACTGGGTGTACAGAGAAGTTATGTACATTGTGTGAGATGGCCTCTCTGGCCCAGGCTCCAGCTGTGTGGGGAAGACTTTGCAATGCCGACCAGAGCATTGGATTTGAAGCCCAGCAGGACCTACCAGGTGGAAGAGGAGAGCAAGGATGACAAATGTGTCATCAGCAAGCTGCTCAAAGGCATCCCTCTGGCCACCAGGGACACCGGCCCAGAGCCTGAGCTAGGACCGGGGACTTCACTGCCACGTCCCAAGGAGGTCATCAAGGGAAACATCAAGACTGTGACAAAGTGCAAGCTCAATGAGGATGACAAGAAGTTCAGGATGGTCCATACCTTCAGGATCAAGACCCAGAAGGCCTCCAAGGCTATTGCAAGGAGAAAGAACTGGAAGAAGTTTGAGAACTCAGAGTTTGACACACCAGGGCCCAATGGGGCCACCACCATGGTTAGCGATGACGTCTCTATGACATTCATTGCCAGCAAAGACCACCTGAACTTCCAGGAGGAGGAGGACCCAATGAACAAACTCAAGGACCAGAAGACTGTGTGCTGCTGCATCTGCAAGTGGGACCACTGGATCACCCGCCACCCCTCCAGGGACACACTGAGGTCCATCAGAAGGAGCTGGCCAAGCAGCTGGACCTGTCCACTGGTGAGAAAGAGAAGGTACCCAGAGAGCTGGAGCCTGTGCAGGCCACTCAGAACAAGACTGGGAAGTACCTGCCACCATGCCTGAGGAGTGGTGCTACCCACCGTGGGGAGACCATGCAACCTAACCACAGAGCCGGCGACAATGCAACCATCCACATCACCTACTTGCCCGAGGACACGCGTGAGACTGACCTGCAGGAGCTCTTCTGGCCTTTTGGCTCCATCTACCTGGCCAAGGACAAGACCACTGGCCAGTCTAAGGGCTTTGCTTCCCTTAGCTTCCACTGCCATGAGGACGCCACCTGCGCCATTGTCAGAGTGTCAGGCTTTGCCTACAACCACCTCATCCTCAACGTCCAGTGGGCCAAGCCATCCACCAACTAAGCCAGTTGCTGCTGCTGCCACTACCACCTGTGCCCTTCATGACAAAAGGCAGCCTCTGGGAACAGGGGACTCTCATGACAGTGAAAGAGCTCAAAATGGAAAAAAAATTGCCTGAGATGGCACAGCTAAGCAAAAGGTAAAACTAGATTCATAAGTAGAGAGTCTGTTTCCAGCACTTGAAATGAACCCAGTGAGCTATGCTGCCTCTTGAATACTATCTTGCCTTGTAATATGATCGTGGTGATAGTCTTTAATAAAATCGCTCATCATCAAAAACATACACATTGAAAACTGCAATAAAAACATATCTTCACATTAAAGTCACCATATGCTACCATCAAGTTGAACTGTTGTTTGCAGTTAATTGCAACTATTTCATAAGGAAACAAAATTGGCATTTGAAAGAGTTGTAACCAAGATATTATTACTTGGGTTGCTAAGTTGCATGGCAATTTTTAAAAAGTAATGGTGTGCACATGAAATAAATAATGTTCAGTCATGTAAGTTGCACTTTCTACAACAAATGGGTCTATACACTTGAACCTAGTCTCCCTGCTTGGAGTCATACCTTGAAAAAATAAAAAACAGAAACTGGAAGCATTATCTACTTAGCATTTTCATTTTAGATTAAACAGATTCTACTCCCAGTTCCCTGGTAATTATATATAATTAAAAAGCACAGAGGAATGTGTGTAAAAGCACAATGAAGTAATAATCATGTGAAGAGTATCTTATTTTAGCTCACCACTGAAGGGAAGTTGCTTTTATTCAGATTAATTTGTGAAAGGACTGATGAGAACATGACAGAGTGAAACAGAAGGGAGCATGTTCTTTCAAATTGCTTTGCTCAGAAAACACGATTAATGAAATACAGCTAATTGCATAAATGCTACAGAAGGCATTATCACTGAGTATACTTTAAAGGTTATGCTTTTGGAGGATTTGAGAAGGGGGAACTATCCTATTTTTCAGAATCTTTGCTAAACTTCATTTGACTCAAATCCTGTCCTAAAACAAGGTTGAATAGGAGTACCGGCCTAGAGCCAAGGCCAGACTATGTGTAGGCCTTACATTGCATAACACACTGCTCCTAACTCTTTTGCATTCTCCAGAATAGACAAGGATAGAAATGTCGACTCTGCCAATTAAGTCATATATGTGTTTAAGAGCAATGTATTAGATATCGATAGCTGAGTTCTATGCTATGCAGCATGCAAAGCATAGCACATTAACACTTCTTGAAAGCTTGCTCTGCTTTAGGCACAGTGCAAAGCACTTGTACATCATTTCATCTTTAGAACAACTGCGTGAGATTGGTATTGTTATTATGAATATCTTTAGATCAGGCAGGAAAATAAGGTTTGTGCTAATACATATAGAATGCAGGTAGTGATTTAAGTACCAAGGAAGAAAATACAGCATGCAAGGAGAGTAGGAAGGGCTGGGACTATGTTGCTATTTTAAAAAGGGTCACCAGGAAAGGCCTCATTGGCAAGGGCCATTGGGATAAAGACCACAAAAATATCTGGAAGAAGGGCATTCTAGGCATAGAGAATAGTAAAAGCAGAGGCCTTGAAGTGGGACTCTGCAAAAGGGACGGCAAGGCAGGTTAGGGGAAGCCACAGGGGAAGAAGAAAGGGGCCGAGACCGTGGGCGATTGTATGGAACTTTGACGAAGTACGGTTTTGACTGAAAGTGACAGGGGAAGCCCTTGGAGCATTTTGAGTGGAGGAGGTTCATGGTCTTATGATCTGGCTACTGTGATGAGAACAGAATGAAAGGCAGCAAGGACAGAGCAGGGACAGGAGCCAGGATGCCACTGCAATCAATCAAGTAGAAGTCAAAAGTGATTTGGCCCAGGATGGTAACAGAGCAAAGTGTAAATAAAAGGCCAGCTCCTGGATAGACTGTATCTTTAAGCTGGAAACCACAGGATTTGTGACAGATCAAATGTAGAATGTACTAGCAGAAATGGGGTCAGAGATGGTGCCAGGTTTTGGCTTGGAGACTACAAGCATGGAGTGGTAAGTAGTCTTCTGCTGAGTTGAAGGAGACTGGGAAGAGGGACTTTGGAAGCTCCATTTGAGGCATTTCAGTTTGAAATCTCAGTAGTGGACCTAAGAGAGATGCCAAAGAAACTAAAAAGTCCTGAGATAAAGAGATAGAACAAAGCCCAAAGTACACATTAGAGTGCCATTAGCCTAGAGATGGTATTTAAACCCAACAGCATGAAAGGGAATACCGGAGAGAGTGGGGTGTAGGAAAGAGAAGATGAGCCAAGACTGAATCCTAGGTCATGTCAGCGTTTCAAGGCTGGGCGATGAAGAGAAACCGGGCAAGGGGATGCCTGGGAGCAGCCACAGAGGCAGGAAGAAGAGTCCAGGCTGGGACCTGGGCTGAGGAGGACAGAGAAAATAACAGTTTTCCAACTCTGCCTGCTTCAGTGGTGTTTTAAAGTAAAAAGGGAAGATAAATGTGAAATCCTTTGGTAAAACTAAAGAGACTTCTATGTCTCCAAGATTCCAAAAAATTTCCCAAGTGTGTATGCAAACTAAATATATTGAATGTCTTTAAATAAATATATACCCTTATTAAACTAGATTAAAATATATGAGTTTAGGGGTCGGCGTTTTGGTGCAGCAGGTTAAGCTGCCGCCTGCAGCACGTCCTGAGTGTTCCACTTCTGATCCAGATCCCTGCAAATGTGCCTAGGAAAATGGTGGAAGATGGCCCAAGTTCTTGGGTCTTTGCACCCATGTGGGAGACCCAAATGAAGTTCCTGGCTCCTGGCTTCAGTCTAGTCCAGCACTGGCCATTGCAGCCATTCAGGGAGTGAACCACCAGATGGAAGTTTTCTCTCTTTCTCTCTCTATAACTCTGCCTTTCAAATACATAAATGAATGAACCCTTAAAAATATAAGAGTTTAAACAAATAACTCAGCCAAAGTACATGAAGGAGAGCTCTATGAATAACAAGACATTTCAAAACACTTAACGTGCTATAAGGCCCATTAAGATTCTGAAGCATTACAGGGTTTCCCCGTGTCCTCTGGCCATTTACCCAGTCACTGGGTGCCAAGGGCAAGTTAAAGAGAAAAAGATAGGGGTACTTCAAAAGTTTCCAGGAAAACACATGTTATAACATGCATAATACACATGGGGTCTCTGCCTATACAACCACAGCAAGATCACACATTATATTCTTACTGTCAAATTAGTAAACCCTTATCTTTATACACCAAGATAAACATATTTTAATCCAATATTTTCTCAGACTTCTTGAAATATCCTTATATTTGCCTTTGATGGTATCAGTATCATCTCAAGACTGAACCTCCCATACCTGCAGAGTCTGAAACCAAGAATGGGACTACAAACACATTACTGCTGAAGAAGGTGATATCGGAATGACTCCTAACCTGGCACGATATCCTTCATCTATTTAAGAATTACATGTTTAGAGGCATGATATTTGTGTCCATTGGTCTTAGGGGGTTATGATTCTGTGAGCCTTTAGGTAATAACGGTGAGAGATGCTCATTCACTTATTCAACACTAATGCTAACAATGCAGCCTAAGGCCACTGTTTAGAACTCAGATCTTCGAGTCAGATTGCCCTGGTTCAGATCCTAACTGTGCCAATCAGTCAATGGTTCCCCATGTATAAAATAGAGGTAAGCCTAGGACCTCCCTTAATAGACTTGTTGGGAAGATTAAAGGAGATTAGGATGGTGTCTAGCACACGGCTCATGCTCTGTGAGGGCCCGGTCCACTGCACGCCCATCAGTGCTGTGCTGGGTGCTAGGGATGCAGCAGAGCCCACACCTGTACATAGGTGGAGGGGGCCAGAGAATAATCCAGGGAATAAATGAGATCCCTCTAGATGTGACAAATTGAACAAAGACGTGTGAGGAGAATGGACAGGCATGGAGAGGGTTGGGGAAGGGCCTGTCTGTGAAAAGGGACAGCTTGGACTAGGGCCAGAGAAGAAAGCAGGCACCACGTGAGGAACTGGGGTTGGAGGATTCCAAGCAGGGAAAACCACAAAGGCAAAGAGATACAACCAGAGAGGCAAAATAGCCGACTTGATCTCAGAAAATAAAACGTCTAATTTCATGTGGGGAAGGCCTATGAGTCAGACATGCAGAGCCAGACGAAGGCGTTCAAAGGTTGGACAAGGAATAGTTCTGCGGGGGAACTCTTCCCACTTCATGGGCAAAGCCTTACACTGTGTTGAGAAAGTCTGCATCAAGCTGGATGTCACAAGGTAAGGCTCCGTGAAAGTCTCATGGAATCGACCTGACAATTTTCACAGCAGGATTTACGTACAAGTAGTCCTCCTTCATTCCTCCCCTAACTAATATTAAATAAGATCTCTTTTATGTAGCTTGCAACAAAGGTAGGACAAGGAGCAGGTAATTTTTTCCCCTATGTGAAATGCCCTTCCTATCTGTCTCTCTTGCCCACCTAAATCTGTTGTTTCAAGGGCTTTCTGCCAACTGCTGAAAAAATGACACAAATTTATGCAAAGGAATTACCTGGTCCTACTTCTGGCCTGGGACTGTCCTCGGAGGCTAAATGAAGAGCCACTTGCGATCATGGAGTTAAGGGAGGCTTTGTACCTCTGCCTGCCCTGCTCATGCTGCACACCCTGCTGGATGCACTTGTGCTTTTCTACCATTGCCAGCCTCTGGCTTTGTTTTTCTTTTGACAGCTATGGACCTTGTAGAGGAGCCAAATAACCAAACAGCTTTGGAAACCAGTTTCATCCCAGCAGACCTGCACAGTGGGAACTCACCTACATACACAGGGATATGGGGCAGTGCCTGTCTGGGCACTAGGAAGTCAGCCCAGGTTCCCAGGGAGCCCAAGGGTATGCAGTCCAAACAGATATATCAATCTGCTCACTCTGAGTATCAAGTTGGCTCTCCCAATATAATTACAGGCTGGCTGATTTATTATTCTGAACTTTGGTGCATGGCAGGGGTCGTGTTATTTGT